CCAGATCGTTTTGCTTTTCAGCTTGATACATTACAATTTCTGGGGTGATTTCAGTATCTGAATTCATTGTTTTGGCCCCATGTAACTGGGAAATTGTTTGATGCCATTTTGATTACACTTTCTTACAATTTGTCCAAGAGATTTTCATCTTGAGTAGGATGTGCAATCATCATGCGCTTTTTTGGTGGGTCTAAAATAATGAATTATGGTTAATAATAATGAATATGGGTTTACTTTTTCAGCATACTTGGCTGTTGTTTAGGTTTCTTTAAAACAGAAAACTGGACTTGTCCATTAAGGTCATTTGGAATGCATGAATTGGTCACTGTGTGGAGACAAAATGATTGAAGGAGTCGGGCTGATTTGGGTTTTTAAGCAGGGGTTTAAGGCTTAAGTAAGGGTTGTTTATATATGTCTGTATTTACTTATTTAGTCTGGAGATTTAGGGGCTGTTTGATCTTGTTTAAATATGATTAATTTGAAAGGTTGGAGACTTAATTGAATATCCAATCATGATTACTATATTGGATTCAATGGACTTCTTGCAAGCAGTAGCATTGTTCTGTATTCAACTTTTTGTTTTGTCGTTTGTTTTGTTTCTTTCTCTTTCATTTTTGTAAGAGTTTTGGTTACGTGCATGTAAGAAATTTTAATATAGAAATTAATTTGTTCAATTTTAATGGATTCAACTTGTCTTAACAAAACCAAAAAATAAGAATTACATACCTTTTAAAAATAATGTAGTCATAGTGTAATTGAATGATCCATTTAATAAAAATTTTAATTATCTGTCTCATTTATTCTCTTTATCCAACTATTATGCATATGTGTTTTAGAATTATAGTTGATGTAAGTATATTTTGAAAATGAATTTGTACTTTTTTTATAAAAAAGATAAGAGAGTCAAAATACATTTATGATAATTCTTTTATTGAGATTTGTTTCTCTGTAATAACTATTATATTCTAATTCTCATAAAATATAATAACTATCTTATTAAAAATATAATTATTACATATTAATTATCATAAAATATAATAATTCTTTAATTAAAATATGATTATTATATTTTAATTCTCATAAAAAATAATAATTTTATAATTAAAATATAGTTATAATATTTAATTATCGTAATATATAATAATTATATTTTATTTTAAAGTTACACACTCCATCACGATATATATTTTTTTCTATAACGTTATGTGTAACAGCCCCATAAATTCAAAAAGAAATACATATAATAATTCGAGTGCGGAAGTGAAATAAAAGATTAAGGTTAACATCCCTTACACAATAACTTAAAAGTACTAAATAATATCACGGAATAAGTTCTCCAAAAAAAATACGAGAAATGAGAAAACTAAAAGAAACTATAAAACATCTAGTATCTACTCGCCGTATTCTTGTGGATTAGGCTCGGGAGCCAGATCCTCATAATCTGAAATGGTTAAATAAGGAATGAGCTACACTACCCCAATAAGGACATCACACTATATCACCGTCACAGAAGTAAAGGTTGGTAGAAAACCAAAAACAACTAATGGAGCACAAATTTTAAACCAATACAATTATTTAAAATAAAACCACTTACCATTTTTCTTACCCTTGGAGAACCTGTGAAAACAACCTATAAAGACAATAACATAATACAGATAACAATTTCATGCATAATCAATAACATAAAACATATTATAAATCCGTATTCATTAACAACAGCTGATTATCACCGTTTTTCATTTTTTTCCAGCCCACTAATATCCATGGGGATCCATAGAGGTATTCCCGCTACATGTGAACCCTACTTCTTAACAGTCTTAATTCCAGGGCCGTCCCCATACCCCGTACGGTATGAGCGTCAAGATATTAAATTTCAATACCTCGTTCGGTATAAGGGTGAAGCGGGCCGTCCTCATACCCCGTCTAGTATGAGCGTAAAATGACCAAGTCTTTATACCCCATCCGGTATGAGACAATGTTTACGGTAGGATTCCCTATGAACCCGATCCGTCCACCATCTCCCAGGATATCTAGTGAGGCTGTCACCTTATTTGTTTCCTCTTAGTCTCCGTTACCAAGTTGAACATAATCATATAAACAATAAACATGCACCCGGTAGTACAATCATATCTGAAATCCAAAATCACACAGTGGTCAAGTAAGACAGTAACACATCCATTTAAAACTATAGAATAGATAGACCAGATACCATAATGCATTTAGATTGTAAAATAAATCAAGCAGGAATCAACAGAGAATAATGTCCGGTTTGGGCTCCATTAGCAACTATAATTAATTATGCATATTTATTAATTTGTCAAAAATAGAGTATTATCATTTATTCAAACTTCAATTCCATGATAGGAAAAAGGGTGAGGGGTCCTTACTTGATTCGACACCGAAAACTAGATTGTTACTGCGCTTACGGATGGTCCCTAGGTTCTCTGAATTTTTTCTCGGGAACTGAAACGCACTTATGGTACCTACACATGTTCCAAATAACCCAAAAATCAGACCTAGGGCCTACTCGGCCAATTTCAAAATTTCGGTACGGTGGCTCCGTCGTGCTCCGGTGATGGCGCTGCCGCGAGCGGTGGCGATCTGCCTTGGGTTGGCTGTTTTCGGTCGAATCAGCCAAA